GGAAAACCAGAACTGTCATAACTTCTGCATATGAGCTCTGAATTGAGCAAATTCAAGCTTGTTGGATACAAGACGACGAGTAGCATCAAAACAGCCGAGAAGAGGTAGGGGAGGTATGCCAACAAATAGAGGAGTGAAACCTCCAACCGAGAAGAACCGGCAAAACCTCCAATATCGAAAACATCATAGAAGATGCACGTGAACTCCGTTTTCGATGAACTCGAGCTTGTCATCAAGATGACCACAAGCTCCAAAACTCACAAAGAGAAGAACCAAATAAGAACCAATAAAGATGATGCAAAGATGCAATGGTTTGAGCTCTCTATGAATGATACGATCAAGCTACTCATCGAGAGCCCCCCTTGATAGTACGACAATCGATCCTATAACCCGGTCTCCCAACTACCATCATGAGATTGGTAAAATAGAAAACCTACCAAGGGCAAACCTTTGCCTTGCACATGGTCCACTTGAGCTAGATGATGACGATCTTGACTCCCTCAAGTTGGACCACCTTTCTTGATTGGGTTGACTCGATGAAGACTAGTTGATTGCTCCCCCATACTCCACTATGGGTGAGCCACTCTTCCGCACATCTTCACAAGTTCATTGTCACCATAAAGGACGACAAGCTTCAAGCATTTGATCTCTTCGTGATGCTCCACTTGAACTTGCACACCGCAACCTTTCTTGATTGTGTTGACTTGATGAAGACTAGTTGATTGCTCCCCCATACTCCACTATGGGTGAGCCACTCTTCCGCACATCTTCACAAGTCCATTGTCACCACAAAGGACGGCAAGCTTCAAGCATTTGATCTCTTCGTGATGCTCCACTTGAACTTGCACACCGCAACCTAACCCCATAAAGAACCCTCACGAAGACCATGGGTTAGTACACAAAGCGTAATTGACAATGCTTACCATACCATGGGATCACTTGATCCCTCTCAGTACATCTTCTACGCTTTGTGGGTTGATCAACTTGATTCACTCTTTGACTTAGTCTTGATCAACCTCTCACAAGACCAACCTTTAGGTAATTCCTTGAATAGCACCTTGGTCGACACAAACTTTCCTTGAAACCAACACATGTACTCCAAGAAAAGCCTATGGACAAAACCTTCAAATATAACTCAAGGCAACCATTAGTCCATAGAGATTGTCATCAATTACCAAAAACAAACATGGGGGCACCACATGCTCTTTCAAAGGTCATCTTTAAGCATTGTTTTCATGATGCAAATTCTGTTGCTCACGAGCTAGCTAAGTTTAGTTTTTGTAATAAGTGTGACAATAGTTGGGCTAATGAACCACCTGCGTTTTTTACTTAGCCAACTAGTAAACGATGTAATCATTCTTTAGTTCAATAAAGCTAGCCATGATGGCCTTTCCCAGAAAAAGGAAAGATCTAAGATGAAACCCCATCAAAATTGATATTGATATGTACAACTTCGGCACAATGTTGCTAAATCTCAGTTGACTAAGACGTGGTTATGTCTTAGTCGATGCTATATTTACGAGATCTTACACTCCGTGCAAAATTTTCTTTTCTTACGTGTTAGAGCAACTCTAGCCGATCTTCTAAAAAAATAGAGAAGTATCCAGCCAAGTAAAATTCAGTGGAGTATTTTTACTGCATTAACTTTTGGCCGGATGTAGTCGATTCCCTAAATAAGTATAACGGAGTAAAAAAATGGATATGCTGAATAGAGATTTGATTTAAACAAACTTCTAACCAAAATTCGACACATAATTCACATTAATGTCAATCAAAACATAGTATACTTTAAGGGATTGGCTAGAACCCATCTAGTTGAGACATAACTATGGTCTCATTCACGTCAGCTGATGTCATCCTAGTTCTATCCCGTTTGTTTTTCACTTTTTCTTTTTGGGCTAGCCTAATGTGTTTTCTTGTCTTTTCTTAGCCTAGTAACTTTTCATGTTGTGTGGCAAGAGGCTTGAGCAGAACCACTAGTGTTATTGCGGTGCTGAATAGGAGCAGAACTACTAGTTGTAGCAATGATGAAGCTAGGTGAAAACTTGTAAGAATTTTTTTTATAATTAACACCACAAACTAATTAACCATGACTTTTTGTCAATTTCCTTTTGTTCCATTTTGCTATAATGCGTTGGCAAAAATGGCGCCGCAAGTATAATAATAGAGGTATGTCAATTTCCTGTTGCTCCATTTCCACATAAACCATGTGATTTTTTATTTTGAAAATTGTTTGCTGATTTTGAAACGTTCACGTACTTGAAAATATTTGTCAAATACGAAAAATGTTCATGAATGTTAAAAATGATCATGAATTTAAAAAAGTTGGTGAACTTTAAAAATCATAAATGTTACAAAAGAATCATAATTTTTTTAAATAATGAATTTCGGGGATAATCACAAGTTCTCAAAATATACATAGCCTTTTTTAAATCTCATGATCTTTTACAAATTAAAAGGAGAATAAAAAAGAAAAAGGAAACAAAATTATTGAAACCATGCAGTTGCGACATGCCTTAAAAACGTGTCATTGCGATCCCATTTAAAAACTTACCCTTGGAACCCATCTTGAAAAACATGTAGTTGCGACCCCTCTTAAAACATGCAGTTGTGACCCCGTCTTAAAAACATTTAGGTATGACCCCTTTTGAAAGCATTTGGGATCCACCTTAAGAAACATTTAGTTTTGACCAGCCTTGAAAAAGATGCAGTTGCAACCCCCTCTTGAAAACATACAGTTGCGACCCCTCTTGAGAAACATGCAGTTGCGACCCTGTCTTAAAAACATGCAGTTGCAACCTACCTTGAAAACATGTAGTTATGGCCCCACTTGGAACGCATGTAGTTGCGACCCCATCTTTAAAAAAATGCAGTTGCGACCCCGCCTTAAAAACATGCTGTTGCGACCTACCTTGAAAACATGCAGTTGCGGCCCCTCTTGGAAAACATGTAGTTGCGAGCCCATCTTGAAGAAAATGCAGTTTCGACCTCTCTTGAAAACATGCAGTTGCAACCCCTCTTGAAACATGCAGTTGTGACCCCGTCTTAAAAACATTCAGCTGCGACCCCTATTAAAAACATGCATTTGCTACCCACCTTAAAAAAGATGCAGTTTCGACCAGCCTTGAAAAAGATGCAGTTGCGACCCCCTCATGAAAACATGCAGTTGCGACTCCTCTTGAGAAACATGCAGTTGTGACCCTGCCTTAAAAAAATGTAGTTGTGACCTACCTTGAAATCATGGAGTTGCGGCCTCTCTTGGAAAACATGCAGTTGCGACCCCATCTTGAAAATATGCGGTTGCGACCCCTCTTGAAAACATGAGGTTGTGGCGTCATTTTGAAAACATACAATTACGACCCATGTTAAAAACATGCGGTTGAGGTCCCTCTTGAAAACATACAGTTGCGGCCTCATTTTGAAAACATGCAGTTACGACCCACCTTAAAAACATGCGGTTGCGGTCCCTCTTGAAAACATGCAATTGCGACCCACCTTTCAAACATGCAGTTGCGATTTCTCTTGAAAAACATGCAATTGCGACCCACCTTTCAAACATGTTGTTGCGATTTGTTTTAAAAAACATGCATTTGCGACCTTGCCTTAAAAACATGCAATTGCGACCTCTCTTGAAAACATGCAGTTGCAGTCATGTTATAACATTTGTAGTTGCGTGTCTAGTGGTGGATATGCAAGTGACCCCGATAACTCCCCCTCCAGACCACAGTTGCGACCCCTTTTTTTTCAATCTCAACTTCATTATTGTGTTGACACAATGAATTTAAAAATTAAAAAATTATAAGATTTTGTAAAACTAAAACCTAAGCAATCATTTCGAAATTGTAAAAATGAATATTAAGCTAAAATAAAATAAATATACTAAAATTAAGAAAAGAGAAAATAGTGAAACAATGTTCTAGGAGTACTATGTACAATGAAATAAGAAGAAAAAAAATCTGAAAGCAAAAAAGCAACGACAAAGGCACAACACAACCAACTCCCCGCCACCTGAGACAAACAGCAACTTTGCTACAGCTACGGACATTTGTTACAGGTTGCAATCTACAGGAGTACGTGGGGCAAACTAATTGGAAATTAACTGGGGTCACACCACTGAATTCACGAGGGAGGAGGGATTACAGGTGGGGCCGTAGTCGTCCGTAGAGGGTAGCCCGTATGGTGCTGCCCGTAAGTTTAGAATTTTGGGACAAACATGTCCAACAGCCTAGCGTGTGCTGAGCGAAAAAAACAACGACAAAAAAAAGAGATCAGATAAAACTCACGCTCCCCACATATCTCCACAAAAGCACGAATTTTGACGTGAATGAGCTCGTAGATAAAACTCAGCTAGCTGAGTTCTAGCAAATCCGGCACTTTAAACAAAAACTTTTGGCCTAGCGGTAGAATACTTTTTTGTTGCTGGTTAAGCAATGGAGTAAAATACATACACGACTATAGGTCTTAAGAGAACGGCTTTTTACTTCTCTAACCAGTTTTAGAGGATGGGGTAGAGTTGTTCTTATGTTACTTGACTCGAATTTGGCTTAATATCAGTCGACTGAGAATTAGGCACATCTATTTCGACTATTTTGATTCATGTGGTTTTGCAGCATTCACAGATATAAGGAAAGCTATATACTCCCTTTGTATACAGACAGATACATTCGTTTGAACGACAATTTTCACAGATATAAAAAAAGCTATATATCCCTCTATATACAGACAGATACATCCGTTTGAGCGACAATTAATATGAGGGGAAGGTAGTATAAGAGCACACTTCAACTCTTCCCCTCGAGTATAAGAGTACGGAATTGATCGGGCTGAACGCTTGTCGGGTCACATTCATCTGCCTACATAACTTATCCAGAACCAAAACTCGATATGTACTCAGCCGACCAGCAATTTCCGACGGCTCGTCGGCAAAGTCGAAGCTCAATGCCAAGCCACAAACGGCGACCTCAACATTTCCTCGCTTGCGTACCACCTCAAACGGAGCCTCACACGTTAGCGAAGAGCTTGTACGTGCCGGCGTCGAGCACGATCTGCCTGACGGCGGCCACGGACGCGACGATGGCGACGGCGGAGAACACGACGGCGATGGCGGTGTTGAGCCAGAACACGAAGCCCTTCTTGGAGGGCTTGAAGGTGAGGTTGTAGAAGAGCGCCGGCACGGCGAAGTCGAGCGGCATGAAGCCGAAGGCCCCGATGAGCGCATTCATGTCGCCGAAGAAGGGTATCATGGCGGCGATGGTGGTGCCGAAGGCGACGGCCAAGGTCCGGGACACGAGGCGCGGCACCACGTTCCGCGCCGCGTACTGCCCGGCCTTGGGGTCCGACAGGAGGCCCTCCAGGACCTCGTTGGTCGGCTGCAGGTACACGGTGGCCGTCGCCGACAGCTGCACCAGCGTGAAGAGCTCCGCCATGAGCAGCAGCCACACCGGGATGACGGGCCTGCCGTCCACCATGAAGTTGTTGAGCAGCAGGCCCTGCGCCGCGTTGCCGAACGCCCAGTACCCCGCCGTGGCCACGCTGAAGAAGGTGGTCACCACCACCGCGTAGCACAGGCACAGGCCCTTGAACATCTTCCCCGTCACCGGCGCCGCCACCGTCGCCTGGATCAACAAAGCCACGGATTAACAAAGCTCTCTTTGAGATTCATCAGAGGGTTTATTCAGACGTTCAGGTACCTGTATCTCGGGGATGATGCCGTTGCCGTAGGTGGTGGCGATGACGGCGAGGGCGTTGAAGACGCCGTAGACACGGGCGTGGGTGTCGCCGACGATGGAGTAGTCCTTGGGGGGCGCCCGGTCGGAGGTGCCGAGGTAGACGCAGCCGGCGACGGCGCAGAGGCTGTAGGAGAGGCAGAGCAGCAGGGAGACGAGGTTGACGTGGCGGAGGGAGTGGAAGGACGGCAGCTGCGCGAGGATCACCAGGAAGACGCCGAAGATGGCCACGAAGACGTAGAGCTTGATGGCGCCGCCGGGGCTGGCGATGAGGTAGATGGCCTTCATGCTCTGGCCGGCGAGCAGCGTGGACGCGACCACGGCGCCGAAGCACACCATGAACTGGATCGGCCCGATGTAGTAGCGCGCCCACCCGGGCCCTGCGTCAGAGAAGCAGTGTCAGTAACATGCTCGCCAATTTATTTATTTTTGCTAGAATGCCATTCGATCGTAGTCTGCACATTTCTGCTACGGTCGTTTCTCGTTTTCACCTTCGGAAATTGCTCTCCTGCCCTGCCATGCCATGCCGGCGGCGAGCCCACGGTGGTACTCCCTTCGTAAACTAATATAAGAGCATATAGATCACTACTTTCGTGCCCCCGCCCACACCGTCAAGACCAGATCTGTCGCCTGTGCGAGGCGCATGCAGGAGTCGCAAATTATTGGAAGAAGATGCTCACGTGATGGCATCTCATGATCCTTGGGTCCGAAAGGCTGGAGCTAACTGCTGGATGTCGGCTAGTGCTGGTAGTCCTTGACCACGTGCTTTTGACCTCCCATGCATCGGTGATCGGTCATGCATGCATGACCAAAGCCAAAGCAATTCGCGGGACACTGCCGTGGACTGGTCCAACACGCCCATCACTTGCCCATCGGTGCCACACACGTACAGATGTCGGGCATGCTGGTGTTACGCTCGAAACATATGACGGCAGGATAACGCCACGTACTACAGGAAGGTCGTGCGTGAGCTCTTTGGATATCGGCCGGCCGTGCCATGCTTGACGTGGACTCGTGCGGCCGTACACGGCTCCACGGCGGTGTGTGCAGCTGAACGGTTGCATCCGTATAATAATCGCTGGATGACGTGTCAATTATGTTGTTATTAGTGTACTATATAACTGACCTAGTATGTCGGCGGCCATGTCCCTGAAGCGGAGCTGGCGGCGGCCCTGCTGCGCGTGGTGCTCGAGGACGCGGGAGAGGAGGTTGTAGGAGTAGAAGGTGACGGCGGCGCCGACGACGAGGCACACCATCCCCGCCGACCACCCCAGCGCCGCGAACGCGAACGGCAGGCTCAGCAGCGGCGGCGCCACAATCGACGTCGTCAGGTGGTACCCGCAGTGCAGCCATGACCCTGCAAACACGCACATGCATCAACAACATGTCAGTTCATGATCAACAAGCGATGATTTTTGTTGTTGTTAACATGATAATGGCATAATAATGTCACGCGCACGCTGTCAGAAAATGGGGCCCGGCGTTTGTGCCCAGCCCGGTCAAAAGTTGGCGGATATCAGAAGCCCCACGAATCCACCGTGCACCACGTCGAAGAAATCATGTGCCGAGGATGAACTTGTTTATTATTCTTGCGTGTGCTAAATTCCCGGAGGCGCGCGTCAGCGCACTCAACTCTTCTCCTCGGAATCGGAACACTGATGAGCGTGTGGTTCAGGGGTCAACAGCTCAACGTACAAGACGTGCTGGGAGACTTGGCATTGATACTGACATAAACCTACAGCCGCACTTGTTATTATTCGTCTTCTCTAGCTCGAGTGGATAATCATGTATAGTATGATTACCAGCGTGGAATTTCAAGCCTTGCCGGCCGACCTTTCAGTGGTCTATTTTCTGCAAGACATTGCTAGTTAATGTTGTCCAGCGTGTGCAAATATGGATGTGTGATGAATGTATTGTATCCGCGAGATGGTGATCGTGTACCAGTCCGATCCGGCCACGGTGCACACACCACTACCAACACCTCGTTTAACACACAAGGAATTGCCGGAGGTGCAAAATTCAGTGGAAATCCTACGTTAACATTAGTGTACTTTTGGCAGTTCCCTAGTAATATAATTACTTAATGCAAGTTGAGAAAATATTACTTGCTGGAGCATCATAGTTAGACCAGTTGACTGGCTGCTAAGCAGACTAATACATGTTGGGGTGATCTGGCTGCACATGCTTAGAGACACTAGATAATATTTGGTGCACATGTTTTCTAGGAATAAAAATGAAGTGCTCTGCGCACATTTCGCGGGAATGCACATGGAGGCGTATGGGGTATGGCTATGGATGGCCAAGAATCCCAGCATGCCGCGGGTACTGTTGTGTTTTGCTTCTTTCTTTGCTGCTAAAGAACATTTGGGCACGCAGGGTGAAGAGGGGAGGGAAAGTAAAAAAAGTGACATCTGCAGGGGGGAAAGCAGGTTCGTAGAAAGCACAGCTCTCGTAAAGCTATCCGTCTAAAAAAATCACATAAAGTAGACAGTGAAAAAAGGATGAAAACTCTTGAAAGGATAGATATGGGCAAGGGGCCAATTCAACACATGCATCCCCTACCCAGCAAGAACTTTTGACCAGGAGATCATCATAGGTGGAGCTCCAATGGCATGGCCAAATCATTGCCTTGTAAAACAAATCTTGTTAGCAGCTACTCCTACATCGATTTTATCTTGCTAGCAATAGCATAGCCAAAGCCACCTTCGCTCCCTTTGGTAGATATGTACAGTTGGTAGTCAGGGCTGCTGTTTTAGCTGGGGCAACCAATCAACAGTTTCATGCAGCGGCATGATCCTGACGCTCTCTCGACGAACACATGCGGTCATGTGCTCCCCTGACGCGCTACAGAAGAGAAAGAGAGGATGGGTGTAGGCACCTTTGGACTGGAGGACGAAGAGCGCGCCGGCGTCGAGCTTCTGGCCGACGGTGTCGCCGCCGGCCTCCATCTTCTTCGCCTCCTCCTCCTCCCTGCTGGGAGCCCCCATGCCGTCTAGCTAGCTCGCTAGCTCCTGACAGGCGGGGGCAGGACAGGACAGGCCCGGAAAGAAAGGTGGCTAGCCGAGCTACCAGTGGCAGACTCACACGTCGTGAAAATAATCTCACGGATCGAGAAGGTTCTCTCCCCCTCTCTTTGACCCCTTTGCTCGACCGATATGTGCAGGGAGCCAAGAGCTGAGCTACCCCCCTATATAGGCGCCGCGGTGCCGTGCTGAAAAGCCGACTGATGAGAGCGCACGCCAAGAGCGCGCGCACGTATCAGGCTCCTGAATCCTGATTCTCTTTGGCCGCTCCACCGGCAAAATAACTGAGCCTACAGCAAAATACTTACTTCGTCCCATAATATAAGAGCGCTTTTGACGGAGGAAGCAATTAACACGTTCAGGCATGCTTTTCTTGAAAAACAAAGGCATGCGATTATACTGATTGTTACACCCAGGTTTCGTTGTCTCGACGGATGGAACGACCGGGGCGTGCCGGTGGAGCGCATCTAGCTGATGGGACAGTGGAGAGGCGTACATGGTTGAGTCCGTTGCTGCGTAGATGCGTGTGACAAGTTGCCCACCGATTGATGAACAGAACAGAAGTGCAGGTGTAGGAGTGGGAGTTTTCGTTGCCGGCCACGGCGCCAGGCTTGGCCGCTAGCTGGGTGTCGTTGGCAGTGCGTATCAACGGGATGCTGAGGGCACGACGGGGACGCGCCGGAGGAGGGTCTCAATAGACTCCGGTGGGTAAGTAGCTAGCGTTCGCTGTCATGGCAACTGCAACAGTCCGATCCGCAGCCACAGGCAGCGCCTTCTGGGATAAATAAACCGGTGATCTTCGAATCTTTGGGTCGATGCAATCGGTTAAACCTGCCAGGTTATCAGCAACTTGATTGTTCTTTACGTCGGGGTTATCGATCAGCTTCAGAGCTTGATAATTTCCTTTTTGAAGCAAGTATGCTGTCACAGCTGAGAGACTCCTACTGACAAGCTCTCGGTCTCGGGCTCAACAACTCTCATGGACTGCATTCTGTAAGATTCGCAATCCCAGCCACTTGCTACATTTTGTATTTTCTGCGGAAGAGAGTATTTATAATCAGAAAATCTCGTGGGAGGCCTTGTGTGGTGGCATAATAATGAACTTCAACGCGATTACGTCGCGGGTGTTGACTTCACAAGCTCAAATGCGCTCGCTCATCTTCAACGGTTGGTTAACAGATGTGATGTTCTTTGACTGCTTCGCATAACTAGCTAGGTGCACGCGCTCTGTATAATAATAAGCAAACACTTTGCATACACCGGAGGAGTAAAACTTTTCCTCCATTGCAGGCTTGCAGCCTGCATTTTCTTCTTTGACAATGTACTGGATTCTCGGTGCCTGCGGATGCACGCCGCTCTCCTCTCCATTATAATTATCAAGCACTCTGTCATCCCCGTCAAATCAAAATAAAATAAAATTGAGTACTTTGTCAGTGCGTATTTATCAGTTGATGCGACACCGCAACAGAAAATGACAAGAAAATCAGACATTACAAGCATTTACTAGTAACAACATTTCACCCAACCAGGGTTCAAACCTCAAAGTGACATTGACCCCTTCACGTTGATCTGCCATCTTGACAAGTCGACGTGGTAGGCGACGTCTTCTTCTCGGCATGGGCGTGGGCGAGTTTTTTCTACCGGAAAAGAGGGGGCAGGGCCGCAGGGGAGGAGGTTGTCTAAAGCTGGCGACCCGGACGCACAAAAGTTCAGAGAAGATTGGATTTGCCGTCGAAAGGGCCTCCACTGGTGACCGATCGCCGTGAGTGGGTTATGGTAAAACAGTGCCAACGCCAGGAGCAGGCGGCCGGGTTAGTTGCCGCGTCAACCTGTGATCATGCCGGAGAACCGTTCGACGGAGACGCCCGGTGATTCAGAACCGAGAGGGAAACTTCTGTTCTCGTCAGTGGGTAGTGCCCGCGTGATTAGGAACAGAGAACGTGTATGTCTCACGGTCTCTGATGAGCCCTTTTGAATTAGCCCTGGTTAAAGCATCTTCAACAGCCGCGCTATGCGCCGCGTGCAAAAAACTACTTTGCCACGCGTCTTTTGTTTGGTTTTGCGCGGCCGGCAGCGCTGGCTCCAACAGCCGCGCTAAAATGCAGCACGCGTCGCTCCGGCAGCGCGCAGAAAATACAGCGTGATTTTGGACACGGAATGGATTTGAAATCTTCAAAATGCAATGAACATGACATATAAATTTCACACAAACAAGTTAATGAATAAAAGTTCACACCCACAAGTTCAAAATCATGCCCACTAGTTTATCCAATCAAGTTTAAAATGCAAACCAAGTTCATGACACAAACGAAAGACACATCAAGCCTCGTCCCCGTCTTCGTCCTCATCTTTGGAAGACGGTTCTTCCTCCTCCTCCTCATCGCGCACCGCATCACGTGAAGCTCCGACGGTGTTGGCAAGATCTTCAACGGCATCTTCATGGGAATGTGTGTGAGGAGGCACACCGGAAGACATTCCGTCCATCGCGTCCGGAGGTGCACCCATGCCTCCCATGAGAGAAGCAAAACTCATGCCTCCCATGGCGGCCATAGCGTCGGGAGGTTCTCCAAAGCCACCCATGCCTCCCATGGTCTTCATGGTAGCTCCAAAGTCACCCATGGCACCTAAACCGCCCACGGTACCTCTGAAGCCACCCATGCCTCCCATGGCGCCAAAGCCACCGCCACCCATTGCGGGAATCATGGCTCTTTTTTGGATAAAGACTTCTTCGCGGGCAAGATTGGCATACTCCTTTTGCACCTCATTGAGGATAGGTGTGTCCAAGAAGAACAAGTGCTTCTCCCCTTCCAACAATCTAGTTCGCTCCTCATTGCTCACCTTCCTCTCCTCCAAAGCCACCTTCCTCTCCTCGGCCGTCACCCTCCTCTCCTCGGCCGCCAACCTCCTATCCTCGGCCGCGACATCTTGGTTCCTTGTCATTTTCCTCACCTCATTGGCTTCTTTTCTTGCCTTCACAATAGCTTCCATAACATTTTTGAGCTCATCATCTCCTTTCCTCTTCTTCTTTTCTTTTGCGTCTTTCTTGCACCCATCCGGTCGTTTTGGCTTCGAGTATGAAACCGAGTTGGGTGTGGGGCTTCTCTTGCCGTCACTTGATGCATCATCCTCCTCCTCCTCATCATCATTCAACTCAATTGTTCGCTTGCGTTTGTTGCTCAAATGCAAATCATCCAAATCATCACGCTTCTTCCATTTCTCATCATCATTCAACACTTCATAGCAATGAGGTAAGGTAAATATCCTTCCTTTATTGATCTTCCCCTTCTTGGTTCTCTTCTCCTCTCATTTGAACAAGTTTTGTGCAATGTT